GAATTATTTAGGGTATTTACTCAAATTTATTGAGCAATTGTTCTATAGAGCAGGCCAATTAAAGCCAATTAAATACAAGTTCAAAATAAATCTAGTGCCTTTGTCTAGGGCCCAATGTCTCCGATTAGCTCATATGTTTTTGTATTTTTTCAGGTTTTTCGTTTTATTTCTAGTTTTGCTTCGCCGCTTTAGACGACCCCAAATCGGGCGGTGTGAATACTTTTTTCAAATAAGTTTTTCGCGTTTTTTTTCTTATTTGTTGCTTGGCGGCGTAAATTCTTTTTATGTTTTGGATTTCTTTTGTTTTTATTTATATCATTGAGGAATTGGGGATAATGAAATGAAATTTATATTAATAATTATGATAATGTTTTCAAATTACTTAAAGATGTATGGAATATTAATATTCCTTCTTTTAAAGTAAAATCGTTGAAAGATATGACTATTGAACTGACGAAATATGCATTATTACATGGTCATGATTTTAAATTTAATAGTCTTTTCTTCTAGTTATGATAAATAAAGGGATTAACCCCAAAATTTTTTTTATACATTTACTGTTATACATTTGATAATAAATATAAAAAAGATACAATCTTAATTATCCATAATATTTACAAAAACATAAACATATCCAAAATTATGTTTAAAGCTATTGATTGTCCAATGCTAAAAATAACAAAATTTATATGGATAATAAATATGTTGTATAACTAATGTTACATAAGCATCTAGTAAAATAAATAAATGTGGCAGTTTATGCTGAGATTTAAACCTAAAATACCCTACAAAAATTAATATACCATCGACTCTGAATATCACAAACTCAGAATTTTTAAAATTTCATAATAGTTCGGTATAGAAAGTGCCATGTGTCCTTCAGAAAACCTAGTAATTTTCTATAACAAACTTTTTTTTCTTCCAGAACCATCAGTTCGTTATAGAAAGAGTTGACTATATTCTTATTAATACTACCCCTAAATCTTAGTCTAACCCTAAAAAAAGGCTGACAAAAAATTTCAAAATTTTATAGCTGAAGCTGCCACAATAAATGTTCTTGCTGCATTAAAAAAAAATCATCAATATGGATATTCTCTTAAATCAATGTCTGCGGGTATATCTGCTTCGAAATCGCTGTCATCCTCTTCTCCATATTGATCTTCAGTTACAGACATAGTATCAGATCCACCTTCATCATCACCATAATCAAATTCATCATCATATCCCATCATTTCATTATTGTCTATTGTTAGATCCATTCGTCCCGGCATATCAACATTCCCTCCAATATATACAGATGTTCGTTTGTGCGAATTTGTCAAACTACTTTCATAGAAATCACTATCAGAGAATTTTGTGGATATTGAGGCAGAAGTTTCAAGCATTCCATAAGCAGAATGTAAGTGTGTTGGCCGTAGATCATTACTACCTAGTCTCGGTGAACTAGGTAGACTTTTTTGTGGTGATAATGTCGACACTTCATATATTTCTGGAGGCAGTTCAATTTCTGGTAAATCTGGTTTCCAATAATTCCAATCATTGTAAATTGTATCCCATTTGCTATCAATATGGGGGAAAATTTGATCAACCAAATCGCTCAAATCAACGTAACTATAACGAATTTGTATAATAATAAGTTTATGATAATACAAAAAAAAAATATTTAGAATAATTCAAAAAACAAACTTACGATGACTTATATCCTGCCAATAATTCTAATTTTACTTCTCCGTTTGTATCTATCGTGAATATTCTCGAAGATGGAATATTTACACTTCGATAAGATAAAGCATCCTACAATAATAATAATTTTAGTAACAAAGATTTTATGAAATATTGGAAATTCATGTCTGTATAAAGGGAAAACGCATACGGTTATTCTATTGCCGAATCCAGCAAAGAAAGGATTTCTATCTCCAAATAACTTTCTCACATCACGTAAACACGCTATTTTAAAGGCCTCGGGCTTACGCATTATTACTTCTCTATAAGAACAGAATGATTAGCTCATCAGAAATTTTATAACAAATAATTTAAAAGAGATCTTTTATGGAATGGATACCTGTGAAAAGCTGTTAATAAACGATCAGGTGACATAATTACCGGCCCCTCCGGTAATTGATATTTATCTTGTTTTACTTTTTCTAAGTAATCTCTGGTATAATCCGCCTAAACAAGATCAAAAATGTTAAGTAGGTTTTTGGATCCTATCACAACCAAACATTTACCTATACGTACTTGGCCAATAGCCCTACTCGTTAAGTATAAAATTTGATATCCATTTTTATGGATATCAGAATACAATTTTGCGACACCATAATGCGTCCAATCTTTACCAATCATTGTAAATACGTGACCAAGAGCATCCGACCTAATTTGATAAAATAATCATGAGTATTTTTAGAGTAATATAATAACAAATACTTGAAGTCGAAACATCTAGCTTACTTCGTAATAGTTCCATCGATATCAGAAACAACAATATGTGTATCATCATCCCAAAAGAATAATTTTGCTACGCATGTAGCCTTGCCTTGATAAAAGGTAGCAACAGAAAATGTCATAGTGTTGGCTCCCTTCTTTAGGTTAAGGCTTTTCTGTCATTATCACAAATTCAGATATAAATTAAATCGCCTTTCATAGATTAGACACATACATTAGAATAAGTATTTACATACCAGCTGGTCTGATGTTAGACGGAGTGTTTTGGCATAAAATTGTTGTTCTTGAGATTCACTAGTATCCTCCTACAAGTATCATATTAAGAAACAATTATAATTAATTAAGACTGTACCTTTGAAATCAAAGTAAAATAACGTAAGTAGGGTATTGTGACGAAGTACAGATTGCGATGAATCCGCGTTTAAAATGTCGCATTTTTATGTAAGCGTATAATTCACCACAAAATATATGAGGGAGTCAGTAGAAAAAGAACAAATTTTTTTTAACGATTTTTTTAATTTTTAAATTGAAACATCTCAACAAATATTAAACCAAATTTGATAATAAAATTTTTTTAATTATAGAATTACCGTGCATAGAATTAAAATTTTTTTTTTTTTAAAAAAAAAAACTTGGTTTGATATCTGTCGAGATATGTCAGTTTAAAGATTAAAAAAATCGCTAAAAAAGATTTGTCCTTTTCTACTGACTCCCCCATATTTCTATATGCCCTATTTTATCTTAAATCACTATAACGCAATGTAAAATTTACATTTTTTGTATTATTATGTGCTTTTTCTTCATTGCTCTCTTCTATAGTGTCTACAGGTTGTGGGCTCGAAGAACGGCTCCACCATCGACTCAATCCTCGTAAACTATATTTTCGTTTATTCGACCTCAACTCTTCAGAACGATTACTAGTTAGAAGTGTCATAGTAGAATCAGGAAGTGGTTTTTTGAATACGACGAGAGATATAATCAATGGTGCGGCCGTGGCCCATGTAAGGTATCTGAATAAGTTAAATATGATATCAATAACGTATTTAAGGCAATAACGTATTTAAGACAACATCGTTAAAATAACAGAATGGTAAACTAACCGATCTTCATATTTAATAACCAGCGCCTTATCATTCAAAAGTTGTGGGTTTTCTGTAAATTTCTCAAAAGTAATTAAGTGCTTTCGAAATAACTCAGCATCCGTTTTCTGATAAAAGAGAACCAAAAAATTATTGTAAATACAAGATTATTGCAAATACAGGAAAACCAATTTTAAATGATTGCATAATCGAAATCAACCTCATCGCTTCCAAAAGTATCACTGCCACAAAGTGACATTTCAAAACAATAATTTTTATCTTCAATCTGAACTCCAGATGTATTCTCGGTTTGTTTTTCATGATCTTTCCATTCTTTGTTATCAGAACTTTCTTGCCAATGTTCCATTTTATCAGATGTTCTGACAGGTAGTGTCCCCCAGCCCCACGACCATTCTGCAGTATGTTTTGGATCATTCACAGGTTCGTACTGAAAATGAGATTGTCATATCACATGTTATTAACAATATAAATGATGAAATATAATTATACTTTAAGACTCAATGAAATTAAGCAGAATTCTGATTAGAACCTCTAATTCTGTATCACTTAAGGGGCTAGTTCTGTGTATGCGTCTCTCAGACCTAATGATTATTATTCTATGAGTATTAAGAAATTCGAATTATATAAATATTAAACATAATAAATGCGATAAATACGGTTTTTCAGGTTTTCGTGTTTCATCCAGTTCTGTGTCAGAAAAGGGACCATCAGATTTTCCCCCTATTTTTTGTGAGAATTTTTAAATTTTTAGATTAATGTACATAATTTTATCAGAAATATAATATTAAGTAATAAAAAGTAAATTCTAGTATCAAAACGATAAATATTCATATAATCTTATTTAAGCCAATATAGAAAGAAACGAAAAAATGGCTCATTTTAAAAGACTTAAAACCAAGTCAAATTACAACTTGCTAATTTCTTTTAAAAAAATTAAGAGAAAACATACGAACAATTTGAATGAACCAACGGCATTGACAAAGGCCTTTCATTATTTGAAATCTTGTCTTCAAGTATTTCACCATCATCAATGGATGATTGTTCGGTTATATCGATTTTAGATTCTATAATAAATCATTGAATAATCATTATTATTGTTGTTTTCATAGGTTTTCGTTAATAAATCAATGATCGGAAACTTACCAAGATGAAAATCATTATGAGACATATCATTTGTTTGAACATTATCATATTCAACACCTTCATTTGTTTGAACATTATCATATTCAACACCTTCATTTGTTTGAACATTATCAAATTCAACACCTTCATTTGTTTGAACATTATCAAATTCAACACCTTCATTTTGTAGTTTACAAGATATGTAGTCAAGCTTTTCATTCATTTCGCTCTTTTCTTTGTTAATGTATATTGTTAGGCATTCGGAAATTATAATAAATTATCTCAAGCTAAGAGAAATCACATTACCAGTTGATATTATATTAGATCCGTAATCATATTCTAATTTTGAGTCCTGCTGTTGTAAATTAACTTCCGCAATATTAGAATTCGTCTGTCCATTTACAATGTTTCTTTCGACTTCGTGAACTTCTTCAAGAGAATCAATTTGTACAATTACTTTTCCTGCGTTTGTTTCATCATCTGATGTGAAACCGACAGGAACTACAGCATTTGAAATTGCTGATTCCAAATCAGTAGCGTTTTCTGGATCTGACGCTCCTTCTTCCGCGCCAAAGTCTAAATAAAGAGCAATCCCGCAAAACAGTATAAAATTAGTAATGTATATTAAGACATTTACAAGCAGCATACCACCATCAATTCATACCAGAGCCAAGAATATTATTACGTCCAAAATCATAAATTGGAGCTATTGTTCGATAAATTTGTTAGAAATGATAGTTTATTGGTGAATATAAAGACCGAATTAATTAATTCTAAATAATTACGACTATCTTTCGAAACTGGTGAATCCCGTGCGCTTGAGGCACTTAGATCAAGAAAATCAGGCTTCAGAATAAACAAAATTTGCATGAGTGTATTATAATGAACCAAATGATTAGATGCATGAGTAAAAGAATTACCTCTTCAGTTAAAGAATATTCAGTAGGTCCCGCAAGCGGAGACGTTTGAAGTTCTTGGGGAACCATCTTATCAGTCTGGAAAACAAAAAATGCTTCACCCGCTTCTCCTATCTTCATTGGAAAATCAACGACTTTGCCATTAACTGTCATTTCAACCTAAAATAATACAGGATCAAAAAATTAATGATTTGAAAAATAATTGTTATAGCTGATGCTGAAATTTGGACTATTTTAATATAAAATTTTTTCTTTAGAGTATGATTAGAATTTAGGAGTATAATTATTAATAAAAATGTATATGTGGATTTTAGAAGGGTTTATACTTTCAAATCGAGATCTCAAATTTCTGCTTCAGCTGCGACAATAACTAAAACGACAAATAGCAATAGTACACACCTTTTTTTCTTGTGGTCTCAAAACGGAAAGTTTTCCAAATCTAACGTGAAACGGCGAGCATGCGAGATCACCATTAGGTTGCTGAACAACGATAACATCAATTGCTCCCGAAAGCGTTGCGGGATTTATTTCTCTGTAAAATTGATTGACAGTTGATACCAATTTATAAACTGACTGCATTCTTATGCGTGATCCTACTGCAAAAGGTCCGAAAGAATGAGTTTTAATGATATGACTTATATAATATATATTAGGATCTTGTATTATTCCTACCAGAGCTAGGAGAAAATTTTAAAATTTACTAACTGTCAGCCACTTTTAAAAGATTATCAACCTCCTTTCCGGGATAATAATTAACCACTTTCTATTTACAGAATAATTCTGACATAAGGCACAATGAGCATCATTGTTTATTAAAGCTGACACTCGTACGTACAATAATGAATCTCACACAAGTTAGTCCAATTTACTATTGGCAGGTATAATTATGATTATGACGTACCGTATAGCGTTACCCTAATAAAGTAACCTTCGTACAATATCGAGATACTATGTAACTACGGATAGAATAACCCCTATATACATGTGACCGAAACCCCAGGATTTTCGGACCTAGTTTCAGTTTCGGATTTTATTAATTTTCGGACCAGGATGATCATTTCCGAAACTAAAACTTTGGTCGAAAGGCTAACTAAAGTCGAATC